TTCCATGGCGGCTGAAACCTGAAAAAGGAACTCAAGAGTCTTCAAACCCTACCTAAATGGCCTTCATGTCCACATGCTTTACTGTAACTACCAAGTCTCATTCCATCGTCTTCTCATCAAAACCCTCAATCTTACTAAAGCCTTCTCAATTCCACACTTTGCCGTCACAAACCCCATTAAATCTCAGTAGGACATCAAATTTTCGTTGCAGTAAAGGATTTGGCCATGTAATTAGGGCGAGTGTCGATGTTTCGACTTCCGCGGTAAAGCCAGGAGGTACGGTCGAGAGCGATAAACTGCCGTCAGATGTTCGGAAGAGAGCGATGGATGCTGTTGATGCGTGTGGAGGTAGGGTCACCATTGGCGATGTGGCAGGCAAAGCTGGGCTCAAGTTGAACGAAGCGCAAAAGGCTTTGCAGGCTCTTGCTGCTGATACTAATGGCTTCTTGGAGGTACTTGTTTGAAATTACTGAGTGCATGAGTGTTGATATTTTTTTTATTGATAAGTGGCACTCTGAATTGGGGGGTGGGAGGGGATTGTTGATTACTAGAAATGTATAGATTTTATGAATTTTGTGCACAAATAAGTAAATATTTGTTGTGCTTTTGTGTAATTAGGGTTGAATATAGTAGGTGTTGTTGCCCTTTATTTTTGTTTAGGCGCTTCATAAAGATGGATTGCTTCATTGTGCTTTTAGCTCTTCTCTAGTGATGAAATGTGTCGTCAGAATGGTTGGTTCTGACAGGAATAATTGTGAAAATTTGGAACATCGACATTTTTGTGAAGTTTCAATTTTTGATTCCTGATCATTTTCTTATACTTTTTCTGTAGTTCTACTCTCTATGACTGGATCATTTAAGAGCCATTTAGGAATTCTTGCAGTTCATTGTTTAAGTTTAACTGGAAAATACACATGTCCTATTTTTATTAACTTACTCTTTGAAGTCCTTGATTTTTTGAGTGCAATCGTTTTCAAGATGGTTTCGACAGGTATCAGACGAAGGTGATGTTCTATATGTTTTTCCGAAGAATTATCGCTCAAACCTTACTGCCAAGTCTTTTAAGATTAAAATTGAGCCTTTGTTGGAAAAAGGGAAGGTATTTGTCCTTGTTATTTCATGTCGACACCTTTTCTTTATGGTCCAAACTGTTAATGCACAAAACTTGTTTCTCTTACCAAATGAAAATTTCTTTCACAGTTGGCAGCTGAGTATGTGGTGAGGGTTTCCTTCGGAACAGCATTAATTGCTTCTATTGTCATTGTTTATACCACAATCATTGCTATCCTCTCAAGTAGAAGGTATTTATTGATCTTGATCCTACAAATCCTCATGTCATTGTTCTGATTTGAATTTTCCTTCTACCTGATATCGAGAATTATTATGATTGTCATTGTATGCAATAGAAATGCATTGACAATGACATTGAGTTCATATTCTCTTCTCGCAACAGTGATGAAGACAATCGTGGAAGACGCGGAGGCAGATCTTATGATACGGGTTTCAATTTTTACTTCAGTCCAACTGATTTGTTTTGGTAATACATCTGACTGATATAATCTTGGATTTTTTTTTTTGAAACCTTGACTGTTTGTAAATTTGATGAAAGTCCAGGGTTGTGGGCTAAGAAGTATTACTTGTCAGCCTACCAGATGGTCCCTTGACCCTGGAAATTCAGAGATATACAAAGTGGATACATATGAAGTAATGTGGTTATGAGATCTTCTTATATATCATATGCAACTGGGCTTTGAGATGTGCCTAGTTACTTAGTCCTGTGTAGCTTGATTTATGATGCCAATTGAGTTACCAAGAAAGATCTGCATTGCTATTCTTTACCTGTTCTTCTAATGACATGTTTTTTGGAATGAAGACCAAAATAAATGAATGAGTACTTGATCTACATATTTTTGCGTGCAACAAATAGGAAGGGAAACTATGTTGGCCACTAAGAGTATGTTTTTCCAGTGAGTGCATTGATAGTTTTGAGTGTCAGTTTTTTGGATTTGGTGCTTAAGGGCAACTAGGCATGAAATGATATTTTGGCACTGGTTATTCTTCTAACCAGATGACTGAATAACAAAGCAGGATGATCTGTTTCATCATTCCTCTTTTGGGAGTTTTTGTTTGTTGTATGTTCAGGAATCTATTTAGGAGCATGCAATATTGTCCCAATGTCCAGTTTTGTGCTGTTATGTTAGACCTATTTGCTGTTGGTGGACCCCGGTGAGTATTCACATGTGACTGGTGCAATTCCCTTCTTCCTCTCCCTGGTCTCATTATTCCTTAACTGGGAGTTAAAGCGTTGAATTGGGTAAGCCCAAGTCTGTAAGGATCAAGTTCATATGCAAGTGTGATCTAGCAGTGGTCTCCAGCTCAGTCTCGTATCAGGGGCCAGCCTGAAAGCTTACCAGATTCTCAGTAACTCTATCATGATATTATTCCATGCCAAATGATTGGATTAGGAACTATAATGTCTGAGGCAGTACACAGCTATTCATGTAGTCTTCTACCCTCATTTATGATATGATAGCCTGAAGTCTCTTAGGAACTTTAGATGTAATGGTGGAAGTGCATAGTGTAGTGTACAAGGCTCCATTGATCTTACTCCAATCGGCAATTGTCTGGATGGAGAGGCTTTTTATGCCCTCGCCTTTGAGAGCCACTCATCCCTCCACTCCTCTGCTCTTAGCCAGATACCATCTGACCTAGCAAAAAAAAAAAAAAAGTGTAATTATGGTTGTTTTATCTCATTAAGTATTTGTTTTAGGTACTGGGATCCATATTATTATAGGAGGCGACGAGTACGAAAAGATGATGGTGGGATGAACTTCATTGAATCTGTAAGAGAAAAAATCCTGATGGCTTTTTACATTTTCCTGGTTGCTTCTGAAATCTGAAACATATCAACTTAGTGAAGGTCTGTTTTGTAGGTTTTCTCATTTGTATTTGGGGATGGTGATCCAAATCAAGGTATTGAAGAAGAGAGGTGGAAGTTGGTAATAATTGAGCACTGAATTCAGTGGTCCGTTGCTTTCAAATTTTTTATTTCAACCTATTGGTTCCATGTAGCTAATAACACCAATGATGCATTTTACTATTTTTAGCATTGATTGTTTACTATTCTCCGGTTGGACGACTTGTACACCTTAACATGTATTGTCTACTTATCTGTAAAATAGCCGTCATGCTTATAGATCCTACTATTTCCATATTGTTGGAAAGCTGCATCTTTCATGTTCTTTCCTTCCTATCACTGTTGAACACATGAATTTTCATGGCAATGAAGAGCACCCCCTAAACAATAAAATAATAATAGTAATATTGATTTATTGACAGTTGCCACCATTATTTGTATAAGGTGTCTTCAGACTCATTATTCAAGTACAAGGTGCCACCATATTACTTATTTATCATGTTCTGCTGTAAGGAAGACATTGACACTGCTAGAGACATTCAACCGGAAAACACTTGAGCCTAGTCTACTTGAGCCCAAGCCCGGTTTCGAGCAAGATAATGCCTTGTTGAGTGCATACTGGAATTTATTAAAGAATGGTCCGAGATGCTATGGTGACATTGTGAAAGCATTTAAAAAGAGAGAGTTGTGGTTCAGTGTATAATAACTAGTGGTACCAGAGTAGGCAGTGGTGCAGCCATATAATGTATCAATGTCATCTTTGTGTGGGGCCTCTAGGATAAATAATAAACAGGNAGAGTTGTGGTTCAGTGTATAATAACTAGTGGTACCAGAGTAGGCAGTGGTGCAGCCGTATAATGTATCAATGTCATCTTTGTGTGGGGCCTCTAGGATAAATAATAAACAGGAGTGCCCTACATTGAATATTGATATTTGATACTGTTTTAAGTTTCTGAGAGCATTGATCTCTATGTGACAGTTTTGAGATAAGGTCATTTACTCACTTGGTATGTGTTGACATGAATTACTGGTGTGCATACTACAACTCACAGGGCATCTGTGTTGTGATATTGCTTACCAAACAAAAACAAAGACATTGATATTGAACTGTTACCTGTGGACACATTAAGCTGTTGTGATCTGGTGTAGTGATTGATTGTTGTGACCAAATCTTCCTGCAGGAGTAGGTATAATCAGAGGTCCATTTAGACAACAGCCCAAGTAGTAAATAGATTTCATGAATATCAGCGCATTCTGTCAATTGGCCATATATAGAAGACAAGAGGCATGATGGATGATTAGAAGATGCTTATTGATTTGGGCAAATGCTCGACTGCACTTCTCTATCAAAGATGCTTTGCTTCTGTGAACTTGCGTGCCAACAAATTTGAGATAGCTAGTTTGATGTAGATTTCAGTATATAGCTTTAAATTTGAATGATAAACAATATATTTGAGGTCCTGGGAAACCATGAAGGTACATCGTCAATGTTTAAAAAAGCTTTATAGTAGCAAAAATAGGATATTAGGTTTACAACATGCAGCTGCAAAAAAAAAAACGAAGAAGGGATGGTGTTGAGATAGGAATTGAGAAGAGAGAGGCTCGTGGAATCTGACCCCAAACAAAGTTCAACCGAAACTATTCAATGCTGATTAATGAGTATTAGCATTGTTAAAAAATAGTACATTTCGATGTTCCTTAGTTTTTGGGTCTGCCCTGTGCTAAATCTGGCACACATTGATTGGGTTTAGTAGGCATCATGGTTCATTCGAATTTGTGCTAATATCTCATTTTTGAATTATCGGTATGTAAGAATACATGTTTTTTTTTCCATTTTTATGTGGTTTTTTGTGTCTCAATTGCTACCAAATATTGGATTCACCCTATCATGGAACCAGAATTGTCTACTCTGAGATACTTTAGTCAACTTGATTCAACTTGTGCAGTATACGTCCTTGTTCTTTTATGTAATAGGTTTTCATCTTCAATTTAATTTCTGTATTTTGAGTTCATAACTTTTGCTTTCATGCCCTTGTATGCGTGAGCAATTTGTAAGTTGTTATAAATAAGGATTTAGTCATTTTTTGAGATCCTATTTGCAGATTGGACAATACATAACATCAAATGGCGGTGTTGTTACAGCTGAAGAACTTGCTCCATATCTTGATGTAGAAATGGCAGAGAAAATGGTAACTTTGTACTGGACATAACCTACTGTGTTGCAAAAGTATTGCTTTGGTACATAATATCCATGGGCATGGTTAATTTCGTTGTCATGTGGACTTGGGGTTTGTCTCTATATCTGGATTGTGCTTGTTCTAATTATCTTCTCATATTTTATTGTTTTTGGCTTGTAGTTTGTACACACATTCAGTATTTGTCTACGGTTAATTATGTTGCTCTGTTGTTATCTGCAATTATGATACATATGTAAATATTTGTAATCCATCTATTTTTTTGAGCCAGTTAATTTAAGCACCGACTTTCTATTGAGTAATTGAATTTTTAAAACCTTAATGTTCAATATTATCCATCGATGGAAGTTCTTTCACTATTCATTGTTGTTTCCTTGTCTGTTCCAGAATGATGACTCATTCATACTACCTGTGCTTTTGCGGTTTGACGGTCAGCCAGAAGTGGATGAGGAGGTCCGTTCAACATACTTGCAGTAACATAACTAAATTTTGGTTATCATTTATCGAATTTATTGGTCTTGCTTTTAAGCACCTTTTGTGCATTCTCGTATTCAAAGCCTATTTTCCTTTGAATACTGCCACATGGTATTGTCAGAGAGTAATGGGTGTGTGGAAGTAATTGTCTCACAAGTCACAACCACATAAAATACAAAAATGTGAAGCATGCATTCCTTCTTTAGTTTCATTTCCTGAAGTTGGATGAAATGTGGTAAAACATTTTGATTTTTCTGTTGCTCCATATAAGAATTTCTGACTTTCATTTGAGAAAGTGTAATTTAGCTTGAAAGGAAGGCATCTCACACTTGTTTAGAACTTAACCTTACTTCATATTTCCCCCTAAGACATGATGTTTAATAGATTGCATTTTAACCCCAATTTTTGAAAGCTTGAGGTAAGAAAATTTTTTCAACCTGTCTTCCTTCCCTTCCCAAAATTTTCCTTCTTTATTTTCATATCCTTCTTTGACTTCTGCTGAAGAAATACCTTTTATCATTTTTTTCTANTCCCTTCCCAAAATTTTCCTTCTTTATTTTCATATCCTTCTTTGACTTCTGCTGAAGGAATACCTTTTATCATTNCTTCCCAAAATTTTCCTTCTTTATTTTCATATCCTTCTTTGACTTCTGCTGAAGAAATACCTTTTATCATTTTTTTCTATTTTTCTATTCCTTTGTGCCAAACTGATTTTTGTGCAGGGAAATATTCTGTACCGGTTTCCATCACTACAACGTACAGCTGGTCCACAGAGGAGTGGAAGGAAGGAATATGTTGGTAGAAGATGGGCTGATTGGGTTGGAGGGATTGAGAAGTTTTTTAGGGAGAAGAAATGGCAGTTCAGGTATTCTGTTGGAATAAGTTCCTGTCATTGATGTGGATAAGTTTCATATGCATGTCATTTCCTGATATGAGTAAGCTTTCACTTTTCATGATGCAGTAAAACTAGCAGTTCAGAGAGGGCAATGGTCATTGGTTTGGGTGGGCTTAATCTCTTTGGAGTTATTATTCTTGGTACCATGTTGAAGTATGGTTCTACTAGTTTCGCTTCTTAGCTAAGAACTTTTCCGTTATAACTTTCTGACATCTCTGCTTGAATTCTATCTTGAAGGAATATGACAGTTACACCAAGCGGATTTATCACATTTGTGTCTGAAATATTTCCTCTACTTCAGGTGTGTTTGACTTTCCACTCCCTGATGTATTCATTGCTTTGTATGCTTGGGTGGATTCAGTTGTGATGACTTTTTATTTTCTGGTTCCTAATTTTATAATCCAACCCACTAATGCACTTCGTAATACCGTCGAAGTTCAATCATAGTTTCAGTCTTTCAGGTAAAAATTAAGATGCCTGGAATTTCTTTACGGTAACTGAATAGTTCCTGGCTGATTGTCTGTCTGATAAAACATGTCTTTTTACTATATTTGTCTGTATATTAGAGTGTTTTTGAAGTCCAAAGAGAAAATAATTGGCACAAAATAATCGTATTTGTTGGGTGTGAAATTGACTGTTCAAGAAGTTAGACCTGGAGCAATTACAAGTGTTTATCTGTCCAAGCGATATATCCTAGGTTCAAGTCCAGGAGTCAGCCTCCTAAAAAGGGATAAGGTTGTCTATCCCTTCTCTGTCTCTAACCCTACAATAGGTGGGAGCCTTGTACACTAGGTATGACCTTTAATTCTGTGTCTGCGGTGAAGTTGTTATTGGACTTGGTCACAATAACCTTCTTTTGAGGTATTAGGAAGTGGTGATTTATGATTCAACTGAACAGTGGCATGGTAGAGAGAATAGTGAAAAGAAGTTGATATATTTGACTGCTAATATTTGGAACAAGGCTTTGTTAAGAGTTGAGTGCACTGTTTACTCAAGTTCTAGTCAAATTAGGCAAAAAAAAAANAACTGAACAGTGGCATGGTAGAGAGAATAGTGAAAAGAAGTTGATATATTTGACTGCAAATATTTGGAACAAGGCTTTGTTAAGAGTTGAGTGCACTGTTTACTCAAGTTCTAGTCAAATTAGGCAAAAAAAAAATTGTGTAATTGCATGTCTAAAGTGAGTTGGTAACTACGGTATTGATTATTGACAGAAACCAACAAAATGGACTTTCGCTTGTTCAATAACATTCAGCTTTTTATCAAGTGGTCTTGGATTTGTTTTCTGCAGCAGTTGGCTAATTAGAGGAGAAACTTTGGTTCTTATTTCTATAACTTTGCTAATCTTATGCTGAAGGATTCAAGCTTGTTGCTTTTATTAGAGAACTCAATTGTCTATCAAACCCTATATCCAAAAGTATACTTCCTAAGCATCAATCATTCCTCACAAAGGCTAGATTGCAGCACAAGAACTCTGTTATGCTTTTACTTGCAGTTGTTTCAATTCGTGTTACATAATATTTTAAAATTGACCCTGCAGATCTATGCTGGTTCTTTTTTTGCAATTCCTTTGGTCCGGTGGTTCTTTGTCCGCAAGACCAATGCTGGAATAGAAAAGAGGAACCAAGCAAGAGAACTACGTGCCCAGGCACTTGAATTGCCAGATCTCTCTCTAAGGCGGAAGGTAAACATTAGCGGCCCAACCAGAGCATGCTTCCCAAGTATTCTTACTTCAACTTCTTAATGCTTTATTATCTCTCAGACGAAATCCAGTTCCTTTCGTGTCAGGATATCGTGTACATGGCCTTGAATTAGTCTTTGCTTGAATAGAATTTTGTCTCTCTTAGATTAACCCTCGGATGGACACAACTAACTTGATCTCTAATATGTTCAGCTTCTGAGCGCTCGAGACATGGCCCAGAAGACATTCATTGGTCAGGATCGGATTGTGTATAGTACTGACCGGGACTTGTACGAGCAAGATTACGATGCCAAAGAATGGGATCAGAGATTCAGGGAGATCGAGAAGTCTGATTGAAGGGATCATGTGAATTTGTAATATATTTCTCGTCTAATATATTTTTTTGTGTCAATTGTTGTCAGTCATCGACGAAAATGACTACATTTTGATGATGCTTTGTATGTTTTTGCCCATGAAAGAGCAGTGTAGCGTGTGACGGGATAATTATAATAAAATGCATGCCTTTTCTTTGCCTTTATGTTATGAATTGGTAGAAATATAAATCTGGTTCAAACTGTCATTCAGTTTTCAGGGATTAGAAATTGAAGTACGAGAGTTGCTAGTGTTTTAGACATGAATTTGCATAAATTTACAAATTATTGGCGTGTGCACATAATAAGATTAACTTTTATCTAATTAATAAAATTCTATTTTCAAAACAAAAAACAGTGCCAAATTAATCGCAAACAAAAATTTGCAGGTGGACATATTTTATCCTTATGCTTGAAATATTTATACCTCACGTGTTTTNATTGGCGTGTGCACATAATAAGATTAACTTTTATCTAATTAATAAAATTCTATTTTCAAAACAAAAAACAGTGCCAAATTAATCGCAAACAAAAATTTGCAGGTAGACATATTTTATCCCTATGCTTGAAATATTTATACCTCACGTGTTTAAATTTATGATAAAAAATTAAACAGCAATCTAGGTCAAATCTACAATACTATCAATTCATACCATTAATAGTGCAAATTGAAAATATTTTGTGGAGTGCAAAATAGGATCAGGCCCTTTTCTTTCACCTTTTAAGATCGGGCAAGCCAATTTCAACAAATCCCCCCTCCTGATTTGCCATCTCTCATCGNGTCAAATCTACAATACTATCAATTCATACCATTAATAGTGCAAATTGAAAATATTTTTTAGAGTGCAAAATAAGATCAGGCCCTTTTCTTTCACCTTTTAAGATCGGCCAAGCCAATTTCAACAAATCCCCCCTCCTGATTTGCCATCTCTCATCGACCTTTTTAAGGAATGAGATTAATGCTTAAAGTAGAGTGGGTTCAGACCTGAGACAATAGGTGCTCATCCATTCAAACAATATGTTGTGAGAGTCGAACTTCTCTAAAATGGAGAAGAGGCAATTCGTCATTTACTTAAAGAAATGAAGCATATCAATAAAAGAAAAGACTAATTATACCATTCACATTTGTTGGATCGGGTTTTGTAACTAGTTTTTTTTTTTTTTTTGCTAGGAGAAAAAGGTGGGAAGGGGCGACCAGCATAACAACCCCCTTGATGTGACCAAAGGGGTTCCCACCCACTACAAAATAGCCGGTTTGAGGCTTCGTAACTATTTGACAATGTAAATTAATAGTGAATTAGTCAGCCAAGTTTTCTGCACTGCCTTGCTGTTTGCAGAAATTTTAAAAAAAAAAAAAACACTCCAACACCGTAATACCATAGAGGATGAGACTCTCGACTTCACCCAAACAAATTGCTAGCGCAGATTGTTGCAATCCAACTACGACCAAGTGGTAAATTGAAAACGATGACAATCGATAGAGAAACTGATGCCGACACTTTTGACAATAGCGTAGGACCAAAATATAATATGCTAGGCTTCATGATTTATGGGCAACTGATGGACATCCTCAGTGTAAAATGCCCTTGTAAATAGTCCACTCAAGCTACTAGAGATGCCAGGATACCTGCATGAAGAACACATGCAGCAGCAATTAACGTAATTCCTTTAAAAATACTAGGCAGAGTGAAAGAATAACACAGCTGAAGTCTATGATATCCAGTATCCGCAGAACAAAGTAAACAATTTCATGTACGAAAAGATTTAACAACCAAATCTTCACCAAAAATTTCCACGCTACTTCTAATTCTCTTGATTAAAATTCTTTTCTTAACCTCTAAAATTTTTATCAACATTTGTGCAGTTTATATGGAGAAACATCTAGTCCGGCTTTTTTTTTTTTTGGTACTTTTATCTTTCCTTATTTGTTTCCCATTAAAATCAAGATTTGGGATATAAAGTTTTGTTTTTTTTGGTGATCTTTACATCTGTTCCTTTTCTTTGGACTGGAGACCTCAAGGATTAGTAAGGGTGAGAGCAAGTGAAAAGAACCAGAAGTGCATTTAGACAAACATAAGTTAGATAATAAAAAAGGCGCACACAAATCTTTTTAGTACAAACAAATAATTACCCTTAAACTAAAGAAAAGAGTGGAAGGAAATGAAGGCNTCTGTTCCTTTTCTTTGGACTGGAGACCTCAAGGATTAGTAAGGGTGAGAGCAAGTGAAAAGAACCAGAAGTGCATTTAGACAAACATAAGTTAGATAATAAAAAAGGCGCACACAAATCTTTAGTACAAACAAATAATTACCCTTAAACTAAAGAAAAGAGTGGAAGGAAATGAAGGCTGGCAAGGAGCATAGGCATCAACAATTTAATTCAAATATAAATTGAATTATGCAAATGTCCATGAATGAGACCTATCTGCTTCCCGTAAGCATCAGATGATCTCATCAAATTTTACATATCTGGACAAAAGTGAAGCCTATTCATCATCGGCCAAAATAATGGGTAAAGGCACCACCTATTAAATAGACTGAGAAACAGGAAATAGAAATTCAATCTAAGAACGTGCTTACCTAAAAATATCAATGTCAATAGTATTGCTGATATCAATCTTACAGGACGACAACTGACTTGAGTATGAGATCTTTGATATCTAGCCCAACACTGCTCAAGCCAAGTATGGGAGTGCATGACTCTTGCTAATAAATCTGACCACTGCTGAGGATTGATATATCGGGAAGCGAGCCCTAGTCTTGTAAGAAAACTCTGCAAAGAAAATGCACGTACAAAAATGTGAAACATTTAAAGCACAAAACTAAAAGAGTTAAATAAGCTCATCAAACTTCTCGAGACTCAGATGAGATATTATCCGCAAAGTGTTATGGCAACTATAGATGAAATAAGGAAATATTCACTTCTCCATGCACATTTGTACAAATAATCGGTCGATGGTCATTCATTTGACTTACATTTTGAGTTCTTCCAGGCACTAAAAGCATAATAAAGTCTGTCGTTGAATGGTATTATAACTTCCAATAATTAGATGAATGGAACTTTTGAGTGGATATTTGATCAAGCCAAGTGAATTTTCATGTAGACATATGAACCTTGCTACATGAGGAGCTTGTTAACATAATCTTGAATTCAAGCAGTCATCTGCTCTTTGAAGAATCTGTAGACATATATGCCATGCGTGGCTAGATTCCTTACACATGAACAAAGCCTCTCAGAGAAATACCGCTTCTTTCTCCAATTCAAAAAAGGTGCCTTTTTCCCTCTAGAGTCACTTGACAACACCAGCAGCAGTAGCATAGGGTTAAGATCATCCAAAGGGATGATCACATATACCAATAAAAATTGAGACCCTGCCAACATATTTGTGATTACTCTAACATGGGAATGGGATGGCAGAAAGTTAAGACTTGAGGAACACATGCACGATTTGAATGTACAGTACGAATCAAACAAATACTNTGTTCACATATACCAATAAAAATTGAGACCCTGCCAACATATTTGTGATTACTCTAACATGGGAATGGGATGGCAGAAAGTTAAGACTTGAGGAACACATGCACGATTTGAATGGATTATCACAGAGCATCGGGGACCATACCTGATGATTAGCTAAGTTCAAACAAACCATAATATCAACAATAAAATTTGTCCTTGAGCACTAACACATAACAAATTATACATTCACATATCACAGAAACTGATCCATTTCCTGTGAACGACATAAAAATTGTGCTGCCTCATGAAGGCACTGCTGCAAATTCATTTGATTTTCCATTATGAAATATCACTGTTTAGCTTTTGAACATTCTTTTTCTATCCTCTTTTCTTATTTACTTCAGCAAACATTAATATCACCAACAATCTAAGAACAGCACCATCGCTGTCATCACTGGTTCTTTTCCCCTTACTACAATTAAATAAATTTCATTTATTGACTGTGAAAAAGAGTAAGTTCAGTTTTCTCATTTCGGACAGTTTCTGTTTACGTATAATGGCAATACTGAGAACAGATATTATTCCTTTATCTATCTTTTGAATGAATCGAACACTACGTTGTGATTTGAGACAAAGGCCATGGCATTTTTATCATGTGTGCCCAAATATAATTGTCCAATAATGCACAGGAATCGAAATTGAGACACATGCAAGTCTAAAAAAAGAAACTGACATTCATAAAAGACTGTAATCAATATGAACAGAATTCAATTTTTAACAAACATAAAAAAGAATGCTAGTAAAATTTTGCCTAAGCAAATCATTTTAAGTGTCCAGCAGAAGTGACAAGAAATACCTGTGCAGCTTGAGAAACATCAGTGTGTAATGGTGGATGCCTTTGTTCTTCCCCATCTTTCCACCTCTTTGTAAAACTCCTACTGGCCCTATTTCCATATGCAGACAACAAATTCCCCAAGGATCCAAAGACATTCACTTTGCTGTAATAACCTCTAAACTTGTTCTTCTGAAAGAAGCTTCTACATTTGGCCTCATTAGCTTCCAAATCCCAATTCCCCTCTTCATCACATCTGTCAGAAGCAGCCCCTTGAATTAAAGATGGTGCTTCAAGTGCCATTTGTGTGGAATAAAGAGAACCCACCCTCCTTAATTTATTATCCTTTTTATCAAACTTATGGTCTAAATGCACAAACCCATTCATGTTCAAGCTCGTAGTTTCTCGAATATCCTGCTCAACAATCTCGTCATTGAGACTAGATGATGCAGTTGGATCAAGAAACCTTCTCAGTATATTACTGTCTTCCGAGTCAGAGAGTGGTCCATGGTCAACAGGTTTTCCGCCCGAAAGAAACAATGCCAACCCATATCTATCTTGTTCATTCAAGTTTACCCACTCAGAATTCCTTCCTAAGTCTCCTGCCAATATTCCCTCCACGCTTTTCTCCACATTAACTATATGTTCCCTAATGGCTCTGATAAACTGCTTATGTCTTAAAATTACATCTTGCCTCAGTTGAGACTTGTCTGTCATGGCTGACAGATTTACCTCTCTTTCAAAGTCTTCCAGCTGATAAGGACAAGCAAACAATCTAAGAGTACAAAAGAACCCAAAAAAAACAAAAAGCAGCAGCATGAAAGGTAGTAAATACCTGCCATTTTGCTGTTTCAATAGTAGTGACCAGATCACGCCTATGATATTCTACAGAATTAAGTAGCTTTGGCTCTGGATGGTCTCCTTGAACAAGACTTTGCTCATGCAATAGTAGACGAAATATTGATTCCATCCTGAAAGTAAGCCAAAACCCTAAATTATAAAACTGGCTTCAAAACATATACATTAATATTAGCTACTGGCATTCCTCTTTTTCTTTAATAATTATTTTGTCATCCTTTATTTCTTTCTTTTTTTGGTGGATGTGGGGGGGGTTGGCAATTGAGCTCCTACTCCTACCACTCAGTTCTTATATTTCCTATTGATGATAGTAGAGGCAAGGAACAAATTTTCATTTCTCTTCCACCGAGACCTCCGTTTCCATGTACACCTGAAATGTAAATCGAAACAGCCAATGTTTTGGATATAAATATTCAAAATTTTCCTCAGTTTCTATTTTGTCACCGATATATTTTCGAATCATTTGCAAAACCTTTAAGTTTTCGAGCTTACCGAAACTATAACAATTTTTTTGATGCTTGACTATAGGTAATTAAAATAGAAGAGGTGAATGAAAGGACGAAATCACTGTGTGAACATTTTGAATTCAGTTTCTAAAAAATTCATCTGATTTCGTTTCATCACCTAAATTTGAAATTGCGAGTTGTAAGAAGATAACTTACCTGTCGGTGGAATCTTGAACCACTTCGGCCGCCGAGAACAGAGGGTCCGATTCCCATTGCTGCAAACTCAACGCCATTGCCTTGATTAAATAATTAAATGGTAATATTTGACAAGTATTCTAGGGTTTAGAGGTAAAGGAAAAGAACAATTAGGATGCTCCAAATTGAAAAGGAATGGAGAGAGAGAGAGAGCTCTGTGTCGTCGTCGTCTTCGATTTAGATGAAAGAGAGAAGTGACGGAAAGTAGAAGGAATCAGGCTTGAGAGAGCCAGCAATGTCGAATCGTCTCGCTAATCAACTGTCAGCCTCAGTTTACATTTTTTCTCAATTTTTTTTTTATTGGACCCGGGGTGCGCAAAATTACGGTTTAAAAAATTTCGTAAGAAAATAGGGTTAAAAATGTCGTCTATAATTGTTTAGGATGTTCTTTAAAAAATTGAAAAAAACAAATTTGAACAAAAAAAGTTAAAAAAAATTAAAAAAAAATGACATTTTAGTTTTTTTATATTAATAAAAAAATAATTATATATATACAATAAATTAAAAAATTATGTGGGACCATGATAAAATTTTAAAAAGTTGAAAATAAAGTTAATAAAATTAATTTTTTAAATCAGTCTAAATAAATTTTTTGGGTTCATAAAATTGTTACATAAGCTTAAAAAAAAAAGTCAAGATTCAACGGACATAATTTATTTTACTCCAATGAGAGTTATTTTGATAATAGTATTCAGGTTAACTTATAGCATTCAAAATAATTTTCAAATTTTAATTCGTGGTGGTTGAATGTAGAGCTCATCTCTATCTCTATTATACCTTTTAGTGGGCAATGTTATAGCACTTATGGTATGTTTGTTTTGATGGAAAATGGGGTGGATGAAAAAATTTTCCATTGTTTGGTATGAAAATAAAGAGTAATGGAAAAGAAAATTGGAGGGAAGGCTTTTCCTTCCCGCCCACAATTTATTTTCTCCCAAAAAATGGACGAAAAATAAGAAGAAGCCAACAAATTTTGACATTTGAATGATAATTTTACTATTTTGCCCTTTGTTATCTTCTAATAAAAGTATAAAACCCACTTCTCAAGACAACAAACAAAACCCACTTCTCCATGGGCAACGACACACCCTTCTTAGACAACGACAATCAGACGACGAACTCGATCGATAAAATCAACAATTTTTGGACTAGATTTTCGGTTACTTTAAACCAAAGTTGCCATCCTCCAGCAAGCTTTGTATGTTCCTTTTTCCATTTAATTTTATCCTGTAATTGTAAAATTAGAAGTGTTTTCCTTCATTAAGGCCTCTANCAGTTTCTATTTTGTCACCGATATATTTTCGAATCATTTGCAAAACCTTTAAGTTTTCGAGCTTACCGAAACTATAACAATTTTTTTGATGCTTGACTATAGGTAATTAAAATAGAAGAGGTGAATGAAAGGACGAAATCACTGTGTGAACATTTTGAATTCAGTTTCTAAAAAATTCATCTGATTTCGTTTCATCACCTAAATTTGAAATTGCGAGTTGTAAGAAGATAACTTACCTGTCGGTGGAATCTTGAACCACTTCGGCCGCCGAGAACAGAGGGTCCGATTCCCATTGCTGCAAACTCAACGCCATTGCCNTAAATTCAGAAACTGTCCACTCTAGTTTTAGATACAACATATACCTACTTACTTACTAAAATTATAAAGTTAAGTCCAAGGTTTTGTTAAGTTACAAAAAATCCCTTTTGTGTTTCATGAGTAACAGATAAGTACCTATTGAAATTACACAATCACCCCAGAAAATAATAAAACACTAAATCAGTATTTTTAATAGTTGGAAAATATTTCTGAAATTGTATATTGACCCCGAACAGTTATGAGATTGTTTTAGAGATTATAAAATTCCACCATATCGCTAGATCATGTGTTTAGAAATTATCTAAATACCCCGGAAGTTTCTAAAACTCAAAATATAGAGGCTATCNTCTGAAATTGTATATTAACCCCGAACAGTTATGAGATTGTTTTAGAGATTATAAAATTCCACCATATCGCTAGATCATGTGTTTAGAAATTATCTAAATACCCCGGAAGTTTCTAAAACTCACAATATAGAGGCTATCATAAATTGTTAGCTCTTTAGGAGTATATTCCTGGGTGATACATATATATATTGTAAACTCTTTTTGGTTCAATACCATTTTAACTATTATTGTTGTTCAATACTTAATTCCATTTGTTGGTTTTTTATACATATTTTTTGTGTCTGTTATGTTATTACTTTACCAACATTCATTTTTATTCCTGCTTCTTAGCACCAATGTCTATTTGTTGATTATTTCGCGTTCAAATTCAATGTTCAATTTTTTTTAGTTGCACCGTACTTTCAAGCACTGGTTATCCCTAGTATATATATAAACTGGATAACGTATCTTTACCCCGGTCTTAGCAAGAGATTGTAAGATTCTTTGTTTGCTATATTTATCAAATGTTAGATTAAACTATAATATTGCATACTTTGGGTAATCGATTTGGATTTGAGTCTTTGACATTATTAGTACCTTAGTAGAAGTTTCAAGTAATTATGTGCTTTGTTGATATTCTGATGAGTTGATATGTGAAGTCCATAGCTATTAATTACTTGAGTATTGATTTGTGAAGTTCATGGCTATTAACTTCCTGGAGGTTTCAAGTAATTTTTTTTTTTTCCGTTGGCTTACTGTTATCTATGGTTTTGTTAAGAAGGCTTACTAGATTTTTGCAAAGAAAATTGCAATTGATCTGCGTTCTTCCCTAGTTTATCCATACTAACTTTTCTAAAGTAATTGGTTGTGGGTATTCTTAGATTAACTGGTACTTTTACATCGCTATGGTGCACTGTTTTGTGATTGGTTTCTTTGGGCTTTTTGAGGTCCCAGACCTGGAGAAAGAAAAAGACAATTGATATACAAGGCCTTGCCCAATTGAGAACTAAAACATATTGGACAATTGCTAAAATGTGATAATTAAAAATCAATTTCTAGACTGCCAAATTGTGTACAAAAAATTCTTTGTCTCTTCTATCATCAAAATTTTCTTCTAATTCCTTCATTTCAATCAATGAAGATTGTACTCGCAACCACAAATAATAATGATGTACATCCCAAAACTATTTTCATATTTTGTATCTCAATTCGATGTAGATGGTTGAACAGTTAAATTCATACACTCTCTAGTACAAGTCTTGTAACCAATTTTTTTCTACAATTTTAAACCTTACAATAGAATTGTGAGATTTTAGGAATTCTTGCTGACTAATTGTTGTTTTGTTACCATGCATTTAGTATATGGATAGGGGAAGAGAGTTGGGAAGGAAACTTGGAAGAAAATGGGGAAGATATTTGGGAGGATAATCTTATGCAAATTTTAAATATTTGGGAACATAGGCGACGCGTGGCTGCAGTTCAAGTTGTTTGCTATTTGGTTCATGTTCTCTACTTGATTGGAATGTCGTGCCACACCTCATACGTAGATCGATCAATTACCCAAAGTAGTGGAGAAAGAGAGAGTGCAAGGCAAGAACTCATGACACAACTAACTCGTACAGAACATTGTCGTGACATCACCCGCATGAGCCCACATGCTTTTGCTAAGTTGTGTGAATTACTCAGATGCACAGGTCGTCTCCATGATAATAAGAATGCTCTTGTTGAGGAACAGGTGGTTAAGTTTCTTTATTTACTTGCACATAAGGTAACAAATCGGGAAATGCAACTATTTTTTCGTTGATCTGGTGTGACAATTAGTCGACACTTCCATGATGTGTTAAGAACTATCATTACTTTGGAAGATCAATTTCTAAAACAACCTACCAATTCAGAGGTCCCCTCTCCAAATTATAAATAATAACAGATTTTTTCCATACTTCAAGGTGAATATAATCTTTACCCCTTTTCCTTATAAGAAATCGATCTTAATACATTAGATTTTAAAAAAANTGGTGTGACAATTAGTCGACACTTCCATGATGTGTTAAGAACTATCATTACTTTGGAAGATCAATTTCTAAAACAACCTACCAATTCAGAGGTCCCCTCTCCAAATTATAAATAATAACAGATTTTTTCCATACTTCAAGGTGAATATAATCTTTTCCCCTTTTCCTTATAAGAAATCGATCTTAATACATTAGATTTTAAAAAAAATTTATACGTTTCAGGATTGTATTGGTGCAATTGATGGGACACACATACGTGTGAAAGTATCTGAAGTTGATGTACCGAGATATCGAGGAAGAAAAAATCATCCAACTCAAAATGTATTGGCAGTATGTTCTTTCGATATGACATTTACATATATTTTGCCAAGATGAGATGGAACTGTATCTGACTCAAGAATATTAAAAAATGCTTTAACTAGAGAAGACAAACTCATAATTCCTCGAGATAATTAGTTTATAACCATATAAGATTTGAAAATTTAATCATATTTATTAAAACCCTTACTAAATATCTTTTTGGATTTTAGGAAAATTTTATCTTGTGGATGGAGATTACATGTTAAAAAGTGGTCTTATTGCTCCATATAGAGGTGTGTGTTATCACTTGAAAGAATTCTCCTCACGTGCTCTAGAAAATCCTCAAGAATTCTTTAATCATTGGTATTCTTCCCTATGCAATGTAGTTGAGAGAGCATTTGGAGTGCTAAAAAATGCTTTCCCATTATTGGGACTGGTTCAGAAGCTTATTACCCAGTCAATACAGTTACTGAAATTATTTTACCTTATTGTATCCTACATAACTATCTTATGGGAGTTGATCCCGATGAAAGGTTGATTGTAGAGGTTGATAACGAGCTCATGAATGATGAGGTGCACATTGAAGATGCGATTGGGACAACTAATGACGATGTCGATGCTAGGCGAGGAACACTTGTTAGGGACCCTATGGCTTCTAGCATGTGGCAGGACAACATTTCCCATAGGCCGTGATCCATTTATTTTGGTTGTCCTTTAGTTTTAATTTGAAGTTATTGATGATGTTATCACATGACCACTTATTATGTTCTTGAAATTTTTATTATGTTTTGGGAAATTTTTGTTGCAAAATTCATTTTATCTATTTTCTTCTTTTGTTGATAGTATTTGGAGTTTTAAATTGTACAATCGTAGAAATTATTGTGATGAGAAATTAATTTTATTAAACATATCTTGTTATATTATGCAGTGTCTCATGGGAAAGAAATCAAAGAAAAATTGCGATGTTGATGAGATAAAAAAGGATAACGTGATATGGAATGAATATTGCGATGAAGTTTTAATTGATGCCTTGTTAGAAGA